TAGTAGTACGTACTACTATCGTCTCTCTTACTTACTACTACTATATAGTATAGTAAGAAAAGTAAAATAACTTACGTTAGTAGTTACTTACTGTCACGACGCGCTCTCTCTCTCTCTCTCTCTCTCTCTCTCTCTCTCTCTCTCACACACACACACACACACACACAAGCACACATATGCCCCCACCCCAACTCCTCCCCTTAGGGCTACCTAGGTATCTGGTGCCTGCTGACCGCGTAGGCAGTCAGGGTCCCTGTCCACCTAGGCCGCCACCTCCACCTTTTTGAACATTGGTTAGATAATTTTACCGATTATCTGTTAGGTGTTTTAGGCTGGAAGAAATTGCTAGTTTAGGCTTTTTTTCGAGCCTTTATTGGCAGTATTTCTTCTAGCTTTCAATAGATGGTCTTGACCTTGCTGGACCTCTTGACGGTGTGGCTTTTCCGTTTGAGGAGATGAGCACGTTTTTGGCTTTCTAGGGGAACATACCTTTGGCCGCAATTGTTATTCATCAGGATTTAATGAAACAGAGCTCTTATAATCTATTTGGTGTCGGTATTTTTTATTTTTTTTTTGGTTTTTTTTTTTGGGGGGGAAGGGGGGGGGAGATGTACTTTTGAGTTAAGCACTTGAATGTGCATGAGTATTATCTGTGAGGTGACCAAGCAGCATGATGCCTAGAAAGTGCTTAAGGAGATCCATGGCTTTCTGGGAAGACCCAACTTCTAGCTTAAGGTGATCAGTAGCAGTTGTATATTGTCAAACTACATAAACTGCGTGAAGGTAGTCCCCGATCATTACATTAATCTGTCAAACGTAGTGGGAATGACAATATCACGAAATTTCTGAACCATAAAGAGAGTATCATGAAGTTTCTGGAGAGAATTTTAGTTGTTTCGGACAAATTACAACATTTGTAAGTTTCTTGAATCTTGAATGGGTGCATATGAAGGAACACATGTTTAGAATGAGTTAAGACATTAGTTGATGTCGTGTTTCAATGTGCCGCCTATTGCAGTATTTCTGCCGTACAGGGACTTTCTTATGGTGGTAAATGCACAGCAAGAAACCGTTCTTTGGTTAATGCTGATAGGATATGTAGGCATTAACCCGCGGATTTCATGAGTGAGCAGAAAACAACGTAGGATCCACTTTCATCCATTGCAACAAGGTGAAGAACATATTATGAGAAACACTCTCAGGTGGACTCCATAATAGTTGGGCAAGTCATAGCCCTCTTTATGAGCCAAATTAAATATAAAATATGAACATGTATGTTACACAGTTGCCCATCAAAATTTGGACCAGACATGCATTGTTTATGGCAAATGGTTGCATACTGTTAATATTAGTAAAGATGAACATTCAACTGATACAAATAATTAAAACTAAAAAGAAAAAATTAGCTTCTGCCTAGAAATCTAATTTTAATTGTTATATAATTTCTTAATAGCATCCAAACTTCATTAGAAAATGATCGTTTTGATGTTTCTAAGTTCCTAGAGCTCTTCCGTAAGTTGGTATATATTATGTATAGCACAGACATAGTACCATAGCATTACAACTTTAGAGGGCCCAGATCCTTTTCACAGTTTCTTAATACTGTTCTTAACCCTAACATGGGATTTTATGGATTGTTGGATGTTTAGTATAACCAAAGTCATTTAGGGATTTTTGAATGTCTTATTTTGATTATCCTCAGATGGAACCACTAAGAAAAAGGGCCAATCCAAGTTGCCTGCAGCAGAAAAAGAGAAACTGAAGGAGGTAGAGATTTCAGTTGCAAGACTTGATATCCGTGTGGGTCTCGTAACCAAAGTCCAGAAGCATCCAGATGCTGATTCCTTATATGTGGAAGAGATCGATGTGGGTGAAGAATCTCCTCGAACTGTTGTCAGTGGCCTTGTCAAGTACATTCCTCTTGAGAAGATGCAGGTTAGATCTGTGTGTCCATCTGCGTATTGTTGTTCAATGTACTCATGTTTCGTGATTAAATGGCTTCTGATTTGACATTAATTTCACAGAATCGGAAAGTTTGTGTCCTTTGTAACCTGAAACCAGCAACCATGCGGGGGATAAAATCACAAGCAATGGTTCTTGCTGCCTCCACTGAAGATCACACTATTGTAAGTATTGCCTATTAAAATCTTCCCTGGAAAACTGAGAGACCCATTTATAGGGGAAACCGACAAATGGCACCAAAGTTCTTAGAATCAACAAATAACCTGCCCGAACCTTTAAAGGTGCCAAAATCACCCAAGTGACAGCTTTAGGTGTCAGAAGTTTCTTCCTAATTTTGTGGACTTCCAAGAATGGAAGTTTGGTACCCTTAGCTCAGTCAAAAGTTAAAACAACATTTGTTTTGACCCAAATATACAGGTCGAGTTGGTTGATCCACCAGAGAACGCACGAGTTGGAGAGAGGGTTACATTCCCAGGGTTTTCAGGTGAGCCTGATGAAGTGCTGAATCCAAAGAAGAAGGTCTGGGAAACCGTTCAAGTTGACTTACGGACAACTGAAGATCTTGTGGCTTCGTACAAAGGTGTTCCTTTCACAACATCAGGTGGTGTATGCAAAGTTTCTTCAATTGCTTGTGGATCAATTAGGTAGGTGAATTACTTGATATATGAATGATTTGAGATGTTGATGCTACTGCTAGTGCTGCTTTAAAGCACAAGCTTGCATTAGCCACATTTTGCTAGTTATATGATTGGTAGTTTGAGTCACAATATCCACACTGTTTATTGGAAAGAAATGGAAAGAGGAAATAATTTATTCCATGTACACGGGTTTCGGGCAAATTTTGGGTATTGTTCGTTTGGTAGAGAAAATAGTTTTCTCTGTTATATTATGGTTGTTAGCTTACAGAAGCTGGATTCTTCATCGAGCTTGAGTTGATGTGGAACACTTGATATTTCTTTTTAGTCTGTGATGTGATTTAATACAAGGACTTGTGTCCTGCTTCATATATGTTCACAGCGAAATTTGTGCTTCTTCATTCATACCTGAATGTGCGAATGCGGCAACGCTTTATCTATGTATGTTCACAACTCCAACACCCCTACACGCTCCTGCTCTTGCTCCTGCTCCAACAACTTTGGTTCAAATGTCTTTGGATAATTACGTTCAAACATGTGGATTTATACCACTTGATCTTTAGCTTTAAGCAGGCTCTAGGCTTTTAGAACATGGACAAGTTTATGATCATTTTGTGGGTGTCGCAATTGGAATCAAAATTATGCTTGTTCATATGCATAACTGACACGCATGTCTTTCAGTGGCGGTTATTTTTGCGGTACGCGTTAGAGATTATGCACCACTTGACAATGTAGTTACAAAATACTTGATTTTTTCTTTTTTTCTGAATTGTCAAAACGATCATTTACTTTTTGTACAAGAAGATCACAATCAATTTTGTCTCTTAAATTTTAAAATTGGCGGTTGCAAGAGTGTCATTGAATAGACATAAAGTTACAAAAAAAATCTAGGACTTCATGACTCACTTGAAGCTATCAAATTTGACATCTAATGAGTGAGAATAGTTGTGGATTATATATACAAAAGATAAATGGTTTTTTTGTGGATAATCTTTTTTATCTTTTGAATGGTATCTGGAGACCTTGATAAATTTCGTCGGCACATTTTGTTCTTCAACTTTGACATTTTTTTGATCAAAATAACCTTTATGGTAGTCATATTACCATAATGATTATCGTATTACGATACTATGAGCATTACGGTCTTTAGAGTACTGTAATGTTTAGCTTGATCATTATGGTACTTAAAGCATCATAATATGGTAATGTGACTACTGTAAAGGCTATTTGGGTAAAAACAAATGTCAAAATTGAGAAAAAGAAAAAAAGGATGTGGACAAGGTTTGTGAAAGTTGAGGGTTTTTTTTTAATTAGGCAAAAATCAAGTTATATTTCTGATAATTTCTCTTTTTATATCTTTATTGATTATTAGATAATATTTTAAAGGGAAAAGCTTATATAAAGCTTAGGTTCTAAACAATCAAATTAGAGTTTACCTCAAAACTTTCACTAGAAGAGGTTGTTTTGTTACCCAAATATCATCAAATTGATCATATCGACATCAAGATGCATTGACATGAGAAAAAAGTGGATTTCAAGTTTTGGAAATGGTTTATTTTGTAACACATTTTTGGACCGTCAATTTTTAAGATTTTCAAGTTTTTATTGATATGCTTGATTTACACTATTTTTTAAACTTTAAATTTTATAACTAAAGATGAAATACAATTTAAGGCAAAACTTTCCAGTATTGAAATCATTTTTCTCGATACTATTTGAAGGTGGGCTTTATACAAATCGCACCCCATTTTAAATTAGGTCGCATACGGTTAAAGTATATAAAGAGACTGTTTACATTTAGTACAAGGTCACAAGCATTCTTGTCTAGCATGTTTTAAAGCTGGTGTGTCATTGATTAGATTTAAAATTCGAAATTTTTTTTTTAAAGTTCGTGACACCCCAAGATATTAAATTTGACATCTAAGGGTTGGGTTGGAAGTGGCTGTGAACTCCTTGTAACAATGGTAAATGGATATCGTAATATACAATCCCCAACAAATATACTATAATTGAATTCACGAAATATGTGATCTAAGTTCAAAGTATAAAATTTTTTAGTACTCCGAACGATAAAATCTGGGAAAGTAGGCAAGAAGACGGATTAGATTTGGTACAAGGTCAACATCGGGAGCAAGAAGACCAATTAGATTTGGCATAAGAAGGCCATCGTCACTTTTGTCGTTAGATGTAAAATCGGACAGCTGGGGCATACCAACATTAAAAATCGGCGACTCGATCTGGAATCGGGCAATTTGGATTGGAAATCGTCATAACTGTCTCGGATCCGGTAAAAACTCGGGATTCAGTCAATTCAGAATAGTAGATTCACCGAGTTTTCACTGAACCGCTGATTCCAACGATTCTTCATTGATTCTTCATCGATTCCGGCCGATTCTTCACCGAGTCAAGAAAAAAAAAAGATGAACAATTTTTTCTTGAATTATTTTTAAAACAATTTTAGGATAAAAATTACCGATTCTTTTGATCCGATCCACTGATTTTCTCGATCCAACACAGCTTTGGGTGTGATCGATTCGAGTCACCGATCCGTCTTTTTAAACACTGGGTGTATCATCAACTATGTTGAGTCCAAATAGAACTTTCTAGAAGTTCATGCCAAGATCGAGATCTTCTTGCACAAAATAGCCGGTTTGATTGTATGCAATCCAACAAATATTTTTTCATAATTTATTGATGGTTTTAATGTCAATATTTGGATGGGCCGTGACTTGTTCTATATGGGATACTGTATAAGATGTGTAGGACCCCAATCTCCATTGTAGGTGAGCTACCCTATACATTGGAGATAAACTATCGTTATAGCCTTAAGAGGCAATAATGAACTTTTGACAAAGTTACATATAATCCGCACGAGATTTTTTTTTATTGATTTTTATTTTTTATTGATTTTATTTAACTTCATATATTTATGTACTTAATAGAAGTATCATATTTTTGTTGTTTTTCGACTTTGTTTTCAATCTATTTATTCATTATTCAATTTCTATTTTAAATATCAGATTTCTAATTTCAATTGAATAGTTAATAGAATTTGAGAATTTGATACTTCTACATCTTTTTAAGAATTTGATAATTTTCAATAGATTTTGAAATAGATTGGAGATTATTTTGATCCACCGACTGTAATAAACCACAAGTAAAGGAGATCGAGGTCTTATGGGTTTCGTGTAGGACATGATTTTTCCTTTATTTAAGGGGGAATTTCTCAAAAAATGATTAAGGATTAAATTATTTAACATATCACTACATTTTTTTATTAAATTTAAATAATTTATCATCAAACTTTGAAGGATAATGGTTTGATAGCGCTGTAGCCCTATTAAAATAAGTTAAGCGTCACCTCGTACCTCATCGAAAATTACAATTTAAGCATTAGAAAATTATCTTGACTTGAACATTATGGTTATTTATAAATAAAAAAAAAAAAATATTAAATGAGACTATTTACCTTTAATACAAGGTGGCCACAATTAATCTTAATCATTGGATGTGAAATTGGGCTACTACATATACGTATACATATTCTACAAGCTAAAAATTCCCACAAATACAAAAAAGCAAAAATTACAAAAGCTGTGGGCACATAAAAAAAAGCAAATTTTAAATTATGTGCTGAAAAATTTGCCTTAAGACTAAATAGAGGTTGTCTAATTTTTAGTAGTCAAATCCAAGTTGTTGAGAATTCAAAGACCTCATTAAGGCTATGACCCCTGACAGCCCAGAATTCATGTAGCTGATTGCAATTAGTTAAAAAAAAGCTTTAACGATGATGATGATCCAAATAGTTAAGAACTCAAAAGGCCGGAATTTTTTATAAAAATATAATAATATGTGGATTATTAAGTGGATCTCATAATTTCACGAATATCTTTACACAAAGATCCTCTCAAGTCTCAATTAGCTCTTTTTAGAGAGGGAGTAAATGCACAGTTTGATCCTGCTGGGGGGCATGCCCCCTCTTTGTCATTGGTGAAGGTGAATGAGCGGTAGAGATGAAAGGACAAGTACCCAACAGGAATATCAAGACCGTCCATCAAACTGACCATCTCAACACCACAAAATAGCATGGGAGTGGGCCCACAAAAGAAGCAACCCCTTCTCATCTGATTGGGTGAGCCAATGCGGCATGAGGCAATCTCACCTTATCCACACTCTAACCACATTCCCGCTCCCACCCCCCACCCTTTATCATCAAATTCTCACAATTTTACATCACCCCAAAACACACACACACATTCAGACCACTCTCTCTCTTTCTAGAGCGATCACTCATGGCAGCCATGAACTCAAGCGTATTGGCTTGCAATTATGGGGTTTCGGGGGCCGTATCGGCTACCGAGGCCAATTGGAAGCCCCTCATCTCATCTGCTGCCTCTCCCGTTTCGGGTTCGCCATCGGGATCAAAGGTTATGAGTGTTAGAGCCCAAGCCTCGGCTGTGAGCTTAGACAAGGAAGAGAAGTGTGCAGGTGGGAGGAGAGCCGCGATGTTGTGCTTGGCAGCTGCACTTTTCGCCACCACCACCGTCGCCGCGACTGATGCTAACGCAGGGGTCATAGATGACTATTTGGAGAAAAGCAAGCTTAACAAGGTGAATCTACCTCTTCTGTCACTCCTTGTTTCTTGTGTTTCTTTTGAAGCTTTCAAAAATTTTGTGAAGCTTTAAAATTTTCTTAATTAGATACAAAAATAGATTTGCATGCTATTATAGGGATTTCCGGCGCTTGAATTGCATTGTTCAGCATCATTTTGGGATACTCCTTACTTCGATTGTTTAAAGTGCTCACGCTTTTGTACGTTAAAAAAAAAAAGGGAAAAATTTATATAAGGTGTCAACCTTATACTGCAGAAGTAACGTGCACTTCAAAAACTCCAATTGTTATCTTGAACTTTGATATATATATATATATATGGATATAAAAGAAAAAATGAATTTCTAAGTACTAATAATATGGATCTCGTGAAACATTATCTAGACCATCCACTTTCAAAAATTTTGAGTGCTCATAGATCTACTGGATTTGCATTATTTTCGAAGCTTTCAATTTCATTATAAGGTTGAAGAAAGACTTTTAGACCATGATAGGAATTTTGATCCCAAAATACAGCTTTTAACGAGATTTTGAGGTGCACCTTACCTGATTGTTCAAGGCTGACACCTTATACAAACCTCGCCCAGATAATAATGTCCAAAAATTGAATAGAAACCGTCTAATGCAGTGACACGCTCTAAGCTAAGGGTAAAATGATCCATAGAACTATGAAAAATCAATGGTCATTAGTGCCATCGCTGTCCATTCAAGGGATGTGTGGCGATTAAGAGAGAGTGGAACCCCTCATTAATCTAAGTTGTGGGTCCCGCCTCTCTCTCCATCACTCCATCTATTCATAGGATGGTGAGATATATGGGCCATAAATTTCCTATGATCATATGGACTACGGCCATTTTTCTTATCTTTTATTTGGGAAATCTCATCACGTGTGCAGGAACTTAACGACAAGAAGAGGTTGGCCACAAGCGGTGCAAACTTCGCACGTGCCTATACTGTTGAGTTTGGCACGTGCAAGTTCCCAGAGAATTTCACCGGCTGCCATGACCTCGCCAAGCAAAAGGTATTGCTTTTCTATTGTGTTTGGATATTGAAAAAAAAAAAAGATAAGAAGTAGTTACTGGTCATTGAAGTAATAATGGGTATGGTCTAGTTAAAATTAATTCGATTTTTGGTTAAACCGGTTCGACTAAATTTAAAAAGTTAGAAAATCAATTTAAAATAGAAAATGTATTAGAAAAAAATTATCTAATTGGCTGGTCTAATATGGCAAAAAACTAACATATTAGACTGGTTGAAATTGATCCAGCATTGGATTTAGATCAGTTTTACTAATCTTTATTTTTAATTTGAATAAGGCTGGTCAAGACAATTGATAGGTAGTCGGACTGATTGGACTCGCCAATCTAGTCTTGATAATATGGTTACTGTGCTATCATTTTACTTTTAGAGAATATGCTACCATAGATTTTGTGCTATAATAATTTAGAAATCCTTTGGTTTTTTCCACATTATGTTGTCTTTTATTTCATTGTAATTAGGGAAATTTCATAGTGCCCCAAAAACAAAATGGATGATGGGTGCTCCATAGTAACAAACTGGATGGTTTGGTCTTTCAAATAGATGGTTTTTCAAAGGGTATCTCAACTGTCATATTTCTTTTACTTGTAGCCATATTTTTTGTTGTAATTCCAATAAAGGAAAATATAAGATGTCTACATTATACTATAAAAATAAGTTGCATCTAAAAAAATCCACCAATTAATTTTGTTCAAATGTTGAAAAACCCTATAATTGATCATATTGACTTCAAGATATATAAATATGAAAAAAAAAAGGTTTGAAGTCTTAAAAATGGTGTATCCTGTAACATATTATCTAGACCACCCCTTTTCAAAAATTTTGAGAGTTTTTAGATATGCACGATTTTTCAGAGCTTTAAAATTCATAATTAAGAGCGAAAATAGATTTTTGGGCCCTCGTAAGTATTTCCAGCACCCAAACAATAAATTTTAGCATGATTTAGAGGTGCGCCCTATTTTGATAATTTTTAACAAGATTTAGAGGCGCGCCGTATTTTGATCACTTAAGGTTGATACTTTATTCAAACCGAACCCTTCCAAAATTAATTGGCCTGCTAAGATTTCCATTAATATTTGGGTTGGCAAAGGTTGGTGGAAATAGCAATTTCCCTTTTGAAAAGCGAGTGGTAGTAGTATAGAATGGCTCAGCAAAGGGCCATCCATCATCGGTTCCTAAAAACGGATGGTGGAGATTAACCAAATCCAGACTAATCTATGTAGTTGGAGGCAATGGTCAATCTTCATGGCCTATGTGTCACTTGTAATGGATGATGGGTGCTTCCATATTTCTCCTTTCAAGTATTGAAGTAAAATACTTTTTTGAAATCATCGTTATCATTATCATATTATAATAATCTTTAGAGCTCTATCCCAATTATTTGAGGTCGGCTACACGAATTTAATTCTTCCCCCATTACGAATCCTATTCCTCCATTAGGTTCAAGATTCATGAAAAGATTTAGTAAAGTTTTATGCTAACCGACTTACCTAACACAACCTCTTCATTTATCCAAGCTTGGGACCGCCATGATCGACTTGGGACCGGCCATCACAGAGTTCAAGGATTTTATTTGAAATACTTGTTTAATGGTTTTCTACCAATTACAAAAAAAATAGAATCCCTTTCCTGGAAGGGGAAAGTTGATATGTCAATTGAAAATAAAGGAAACTTTTGGTAATCTGATACTAATGGCTGATATGGCAATTTTTGCAGAAAGTGCCTTTCTTGACAGATGACTTGCAACTTGAGTGCGAAGGAAAGGATAAGTTCAAGTGCGGTTCCAATGTCTTCTGGAAATGGTAGAAAAAGAAAAGAATAATTAAATATTCATTGAACATGTAATCTGCATCGTTTCTTTTACTTTCTTCTCTGTAATGTATCTCTTTTCTCTCTTTTCCCTTCCTTGTATCAAATCTTGCGTCATCAAATGCTACTGTAGTGGTTTGCCATACTGAAATAAAAAGAAAATGAAAATGCGAAGCTTTTAACATCCTGTTGTCCGGTCCCCTTCATATTTGAGTAGTTAGGCACCCCAAACCGAACAACATTTTGGAGTAAGCATAATCAACAGTCCAAATTAGAACACCTTCCAAAACAGCCACCTTATAGTGTCTGTCCTCTTGGCTTAATGGTTGCATGCTTGCAGCACATTCTTAGACTAATAAGCTTTAGCCTCTTGACTTAGCAGTTAGGACATAAGGGCTCGACAATATTGGCTTAGTGCTGGTAGACGTATCGGTTGGGATGAGGCAGCTCAAGGGTTCTAAGGAACCTAAACTTTTGAAATTTGTTCCAAGAAGCCCAAACAAGCTTAACCTAGTTTTGTTTCTTAAAAGGCTCAATGGCATGATCATGGATTTGAATCTTGGCTCACCTAACTTATAAATAAAACAGGAAACAAAGTCACCAGCCGAGACCAATGGCCGCTACACTTGCCCAAAAAAATGCGAGCTCGCTCGGCCAACTCCTATGTTAAGGACCCCTGAAGTTTGTCCTGGAAACAAACCAACTTCCCTTCCTCTTTTTAAGTAGCCTCTCTCCATTGAAAGAAGCCTCAATCTTCTTGAGAGTACTAGGTGGCTGAGTTAACTGGAACCGGCCTATGACCGGTTGGCCGGCTCGGTTAGATCTTTCATACACTGGGTAGCTCATGTGTCTCACCTGTGCATGTTCCATTACCTTGTAATGATGGGCAAGGACTGGGAAAGACACCAAAAGAGCCACCAGTGACTAAGTTGCAGTCCCATTTCCTATGAGCTTCTTCTATCCCTTCAAGCTTCACATTAAACATACATATGTCTTGAAAAGGTGCATTCTCTATGCCCTCTAGCACAGGGCCCTTCTTTATGTTAACACCCACCACATTTCTTATAACTATTCCCTTCACTATGGGGAGGGCCTTAGGGTCCCAACCCTCATCAGGGTGGTCATTTGCACCCCTGCTAAACCTAATGGGGACCTTGACATTGTCCATGGTGATGTTAGACAGAGAGATATTGGCTATGTAACCTCCCCTTCCTATGTCTGTCTTTAGACGGATGCCGGAGGAGGCATTGTATACATGAAAGCCATCTACAGTGATGTTTGAGATGCCACCTGACATTTCACTACCGATGCCGATGCCCGAGCATGTTGGAGTTGTTCCTGATACCCTTCTTACTATGATGTTGGAGGAGGGGCGGGCGGTGGTGATACCGTATTGGTCCCACCCGCTCTTCACGGCTACCAGGTCATCCCCACTCTCGATGTAGCAATCCTCTATGCACACATTTGTACTCGAGTCTGCACAACGGTTTTAGCCCTGTCAGTACGAGCTTCTCTCTCACACACGCACACTAGGTCAGTAACAGCTTCTCTCTCACACACGCACACTAGGCAAACAAGGTTGTCAATGGGCAATGGCCGAAAGCTTTATGCGATCAGCCCGAATTGAGCCAATCAAATTTGTGAAGTCCCGACTCAAGTGAGATGATTTTGAAAAATTGGGATCTCATTAGGGTTGGGAATGGGTCTTGAACCTGGGTTAGGTCCAAAATTGGACCTGGACCGACCCACTGGGTCAGGTAGGGTCCGTGTCTATAAATGAAAATACAAGCAAGTGGAAAGTGCACATAAACAACTGTTTATAATTAAATATTAGGGAAATCACCATCGTGTTCATCGATCCAATCCGCGCAGATGGCCCATTTACATATACATTATTATTGTTTAGGACTTCTTTTCATTATAATGGATAAGATTTGATGATTTTATGAATAAGGAAAAAGAGCATCTTAAGCAAAGGGTGCGCACCTGGGTCAATGCCATCAGTGTTTGGCGCATTGAGAGGAGCTAAAATCGTCAACCCCTTTATCACCACGTCACTGATTAAATCATACCAACGAATTTCTTCAACAAGAGAGAGAGAGAGAGATTTTTACACTAAAAAAAGAAGAGAGAGAAAAAAAAACACAAGAGTGCCTAAAAAGAGATGGAAAAGTTATTCAGAAAACCCTAGGCCTGTATCAAGGCCGGGCATAATAAAATAAAAAATAAAAATAATAAAAAATAAAGAAATAAGAGCCGAACCGGGCCCGAGCCAAACTGTTTTTTTAGATCCAAGCCAAGCGTCTGGGCCCATTGCCACCCCTAATGCAAAGGAGAATAGGTGATAAAAGGCATTCCTCTAGAGAGAGAGAAGAAGAACCTGCAATAGACTGGGTGTATGGTCCAAAAGGGAGAGTTGAGGAAAGTGAGGTTGGAGATGAGGATGTTTTTGGAATTCATAATTTCCAAGAGATGGCCCCTAGTCTGCTCCAAAGACCTGTTCCACCACATCTCCCACCACATTTTCCCTTGCCCATCTATTGTCCCATTTTCTCCTGCAAAAAAAAAAAACATTCAAAATTGTTTGTACCTTAAAGCACAAATATAATTTATTTTTAGAATCAAGTGAGAGAATAGGAAAAATTAAAAAATAATTTCTCCTCATACTGCAAAGAATGAGGCATGCCAATTTCAAAACCCAATGGTCCAGATCGTGAATTGCAGGGTCTAGACTAGGATTCCGCTATCTACGAAGGGTATTCTTACCCACTTTTTTTTTACTATTTTTTTTATTTTTTTAAGTTTGTCAAATATTTTCAAGATCCTATCTTATTAAAATTAATTTTAATTTTTATATTTTTATTATTTAATATTATGAAAACCCTATTTTAATTTTTAATATTTTTATAATCCGATCCAAACATACAGTTTTGAAAGTCCCGGACAGAGAAGTTTCCAAATTTAAAAAATCTACTCTGTTTCTCAGAGCAGGGAGGGAAACCTTATTGCAAGCATTAACATATGTCCTGATTTGTTTTTGTTTCTCTCACTAGAAATAATAATTTTTGTTTCTCTCACTAGAAATAGTACCCGTTGACAACATCGTTCATTGTTTTTTATCCACCATGACTCAAATGCTTCTCCTGTCCAAACGTGTCTGTCTCTACCGCATGCCAAACTTATTCTTTTCAGATAAGAACCTTCCTCGCCTTTTTAAAAATACGGCCCGGTGATTCAGATTCTGGCCTGGATTTTGATAGGATCCGGTTGGAACAACCGTTAAAAAAATTTAAAAATTAAAATTAAACAATAATAAAGGAGAAAATTTTGCGAATTTAAAATGTAAAAATAAAGATGCGCCTCAAAAATCTATAGAAAAGGTTGTTTTAATGTTGAAAAACTCTTAGATGCATGAATGTTAAAAAAAAAAAAAAAAAAATAGTTTTTGGGTCAAAAAATTATAGTGCATCTTTCACCACATTATCTAAGCCATCTATTTTTCCAATACATCTATTTTTATAGATCTCTTTGATTTTAACTATTTTTAAAATTTAAAATTTTCTAATTAGATATAAAAATAGATTTTTTAGGACAAAATTACATAAAATTTGGAGGTACGCCTTAATTATAAAAACCGCACCGATAGATATAAAAATTTCTAATTAAATTTAAAAATTTCTAATTAAATATAAAAATTTGATATAAAATTTTCTAACTAAAAATAAAAATTTTCTAATTAAATATAAAAATTTTGAGATAATCCTAATAATTTTTTAGGACAAAATTACATCAGCGAGTTCTCAAATATCTAGCAGGAGTCAGGACCGCCTCATCGATTCTTGAATCAGATGGAGTGATTCAGCCCGGACCCGACGATTTTTAAGATATCATGAAAAGCATAGTAAACCTAGGTCTGGTTTTAGAGAGATAGAGCTAGGATGTCAAGGCCTGAGAAAGGTCTGCAGAAGAGAGAAGGCGTGAGACTTCACGAGGCATAAATAAACCAACCTGGTTTTTTCCAAAAACATGCAAAGTAGTCCAAATTTTTAAGTTTTGACCCTTTACCAATGATTCTAGAGAGAGAGAGAGAGAGAGAGAGAAGAGAGAGAGACCTGTGATGACAACGTCTGTAAGGGCATCCCCATGAATGAGGCTTATATGCCTGCCTCCCAGTCTCTCTCTTCCACGGCCATAGGATGGTAGGGGTGCTATTACAGGCCACTCCTTCACGTCCTAAAACCAATCCATGTACAGAGAGAGAGAGAGAGAGGAGAAAACCCATTAGAGAGAGAGAATCCATTGTAGTGAGAGAAACGGATAAAACCCATTATAGAGAGAGAACCAATAAATCATAAACACATGATAGAGAGAGGATTGATGCCAATAAAATCCGATTTAATGAGTAAAGGACGTGTTTTACCTGTGACCCCAATATAACAGCATCTCTCTCTAAATAAAGAGTAAAATTACTGGTGAGATTGAAGCTCCCTGTTAGCCATTGCCCGGCCGGTATATTAAGCCGAGAACCACCCTTCTCTCCAAAACCTCTGCAAAAATTTAAGGCTTTCTTGAAAGCATCTGTGTTCGAAGTTTTCCCATCTCCAATACCACCAAACTCTGTTATAGAAACTACTTTTGTCCTTTTTGAGGTCGGCCTGAAGAACCCAATACAACTGTTGGGGTCCTGGCTTTCCGTTGCAAAACCACTTTCTTCTTGGGCGGTTGAAGAGGAAAAAGAGAGGGGGAATACCGCTTTTGTGTTGATTTGAAGCCATGAAACTGCCATGAAGGTCAATACCAGAGACAAAACAGCCCAAGAGCATCTGTGGTTTCCCTTAAAACCATCCCATATGGGTGGGAAGAGCGGTTTTGCAGGCACCATGTTATTCTCGTTTATTCATGGTAAGACAAGAAGATGCTCTTTTTAGAGAGAGAGAGAGAGAGATTGGATTACAGATTCTAGAGAGAGAAAAAAGAATGGAGATTGGAATACAGATTTTAGAAGGAGAAAGAAGAAGAGAGAGAGAGGAAGCCTGTTGGACAATTCAATGGATTATGGATTCTAGAGAGAGAGAGAAGAAACAGATTGATTAATCGGGGTATATACTTCAATGTTTCCTTAAAAAAACCTTTTTGTTTTAAATGACGGAAGTACCCCAGTTTGCACCACTAACCATACGGTCCCTCACATACTCCTTTTTTCCCTGTTGCTCTTTTGTCATATTTTTCCAGTACGGGTTTAAAATTTTTTGCGTTGGGTAGAGTCCAGTCCTGGTATGGGTTCAAAAAATAGACCGGGTGCCTTGTAATATTTTTTGGATCACTATATATGAAATACATTAAATATAATTAAATACATAAATATTTTAAACTTTTTGGGTTTGGTCCTGGTCCAGGCGGACCCGACCGGTTGCCACAGTCACAATGTTTACAACACCTAACCTAGATCGTCACTTTAGATAGGAATTAGTGGCGATCAAATCAAATCGGTCCTAAAATAGCATGGGTCTTGAATCTTGATCCCCCTATAACCCATCTTTATATATATATATATATATATTTTTAAAACTTATCAAATATTTTATCAGGTTTTTTTAAAACCTCTAACCTTTAATTTTTATTTTATATAATTTATTTTTTAATATTTTTTTAATCATGATTTTGTCCGATGCAAAATTAATTTTATAGGTAAGAGATTCGCCCCACCAATCCTGTCCGGGTTTGGTGACGGAGAGGCTGGAGAATTTTGGGTGCAACATCGTTCTGGTCATTATGATAAAAGCCTAGGGTTAGTTTAGTAAATTTATGTAGCGGTGACAGATCCGTTAAGTTCGGCGGAGAGATGGTGGTGGGGTTGGCAAGTTTCGAGGTTCTCGCCGCCATGTAAGCCAGTTTTCGTTCATTTCTCCATGACTTTTTATTTGACCAAACTGCCCCTGGAACGCGTCTCCCTTTGTGCTGCACCTTGTTCGCTAGACTACGTTATCCAAAGTACCCTTACACTATGGATATACTTAGGGCTTTTTAAGAATGAAAAAGTTACGAAAAAATTACGTAAATATCCGTTTTAGTATTTTTTTATTATCAAAATTCCGAATATTTTTTTGTTATTATTGATATGTTCATTTTTTGACTTCATAACTATTTAAAAAAAAAAAAACTATCAATTTTCAGTTTTTCAGAAACAAAAATCAAGCCAATTTCAGTTTTTAAAAACCCGAAAATTTTAAATTTTTGTCAAGAATAACAAAATTTAAATTTTCGGTTTTTTAAGAACCACAAATTTTAAATTTTCGAGGCCAATTTCAGTTTTTGGAAAAATCGAAATTTTTAAATTTCTGGTTTTTCAAGAACTAAAAATTTTAAGTTTTTCAATAACAATAAATTTTAAAATTTCAGTTTTTTAATAATATTACCGCGCGATGAACTTGTTATGAAGTCCAAAACATTTCGCCTATATCGAATTTAACTTGTTATGAAGTCCAAAAAATAGACATATCAATAATAACGGAAAGTATTCAGTATTTTAGTAATAATAAAAACTAAAACAGATATTTACGTAATTTTTTCAAAAGTTTATATAGAGCCGAGGCTCTAAACAATCAAATTAGAGCTTACCTAAAAAATTTAACTAGAAAAGGTTGTTTTGATGCCCAATATCTTCAAGTTGATCATCTCGACATCAAGATGCATTGACATGAGAAAAAAGATTGATTTCAAGTTGTAGAAATAGTTCATCTTGTCATGCATTTTTGGATTGTCAAATTTCAAGAATTTCAACTCGATGTAACCTGTTTTTAAAGCTTTAAATCTATAATTAAAGATAAAAATATATTTTAAGGCTATCACAAAAATTTCCAATATTTAGACCATATTTCTGGAACCATTTGAAGGTGCCCTCTACTTTGATTGTTTAGAGCCTCGGTCCTATACAAACCACATCCATTTAAAAATATAAAAATCCTCTAAGATATTTTCTTTAGGGGTGGCAAAGGGTCGGGTCCTGGACTTGGACCCAGACCCGAAAGCGGACGCGGACCCAAACCCAGACCCGATTCAGTTTTGAAATTCTTAAAATTTCTCCTTTTCTACCCCTTTATATCTTTTATGTTTCCTTACAAACCCTCAGCAAACCCAGACCCGAATAGTATTCGGGTCCAAATTTTGGATCCAAAATTTGAGCTCATATTCGATCTTTTAGATCCAAAATTTAAGCTCATATTCGAACCGAGGGTCGGGTCTACCCATAAGATCCAAGGTCTGGTCTAGTCCAATGCGACCTGTAATTTTCTTTAAAAAATTGGGCCTCTTAATTTTAGTTTTTTACTTTGGCCCTCATCTCCACGTGGTCTTACTTAAGAAGACTTATGGACCAATTTACCCATTCCTAAAATACAAAATCTCAATGCTTATTTTTCCCATCTTTGGCTCTAAAAATTAGGAGTTGTTGTCTGAATTGCCTTGAAGAAATTTCAGCGTACGGGAACATAATTTGCGAGTTATATAGTTTTGAATTTTTCAGTGATTCTATGTTCCTATGAAAAGCCCTAAAATTGATTATGAGAGAAGCATCCCTACGCCCTCCAATCCTAGAGTTGAAGGTGGTTAAAGCTTTAGGTTATTGAGGGCTCATCTTACTGTATTCACGTTCTCCTCTACCTCTTTTTTTTTCCTTTTTTTTTGACAAGAGTAATGACTTTTATTTCATAAACCAAGATTACAATGAGGGAAGTTAAAATTTAAATGGGAAAAGTTTATATAGAGTTAAGGCTCTAAACAATCAAATTAGAGCCTACCTCAAAAATTTCACTAAAATACGTTATTTTGATGCCCAAATATCGTCAAATTGATCATCTCGCCATCAAGATGCATGGACATAAGAAAAAAATGGATTTCAAATTTTGGAAATAGTATATTTTGTAACGCATGTTTTTACCGTCAATTTTCAAGTTTTTGTGGGTCAATCAATCTACGCTATTTTTTAAAGTTTAAACTTTATAAATATAAATGAAAATATATTTTAAGACTATCACAATGGTTTCCAGTATTGAAAACACATTTGAAGGTAATCTTTAATTTGATTGTTTAGAGCCTAGGCTCTACACAAATTGCACCCTAAATAAATCTTAACAGCAATAGCTGCCACTACCAACCTATGCTTTCTTTAATAGCTTCTATCAAGGAAAGAATCGATGATAAAAAAAAAATGGGATTGTGTATAATGAGATTATTTACCTTTGATACATGGTGGTCATAATTATTTATAACCATCTGATAGAAGCTTGATAGTTTGGATGTGTTACAAAGTTCGAAAAAATTTCTTTTGTAGTTTGAGCTTAATCAATAGAATAATTACAATCACCTAACTTCACATCCAATAATCAAGATTAATGTTTCACCTTATACCAAAGTAAATGATCTCATTCTACACTTTTCCCCAAAAAAAAAAATTCTCTAAAATCTGAATGACTAACTTCTCTCCACAAAGGAATCAATCTCTGAAAAGTTTTCTTCTAAGGAATTAACATTGAGCTCTCTCTCTAAATTATAGGACCCTCTCTCTTTCTCAATAGAATACATTTATGAGGTCTGGGCTACTCTTCCCCTCTATTTTTTTATTAGCCACCAAGCCGAGGGGTCTGTGATTTTTGTTTATTTTCTCTCTTTCATAATGGTGTGTTATGTTTAGTTTTTTTTTTTTTTTTTTTATTTCTATTTTTTTGAGTTGAGGGGTCTGCAGTTTCTTTTTCATTTTATTTATCTTTCATACTGGTGTGTTAGGTTAGTTTTTCTTTTTATGTTTTTGAGAATTGTGGAATGACCCAATTTGTGTTTAATTGATTATGTGATATGCTTAGCAAGAGTTACTTTTTGCTAATACTAGATTATCTATTGAGTCTTTTTTTTTTTTTATGGGATGGGGTATAATGAGGTTATTTACTTTTGATACAAAGTGGTCACAATTACTTACAACCATCTGATGCGAAGTTTGATAATTTCGATGAGTCACAAAGTTTGAGAAATATTTTTTTAAAGTTTAAGCTTGGTCAATAGAATAATTGTAGCCACTCAATTTCACATCCAATGGCAAGATTAATATCTCACTTTATATCAAAAGTAAATGGTCTCATTCTATATATATATATATATATATATTAATGTTTCTCTATTGAATGAGAGATGAGAGAGACAATTCGGTGTTAGTTCTTAGAGAAAAAAAATGTGGGAAGAGGAAAGCACTCGGGTTTCAAAGAGAGAGAGAGATTTTCATGCAAAGAAATAGGGGTTTAGGTAGAGAGAGAGAGAGAGAGTCGTGAAGAGATTTACCCCAAAAATAAGGCATGAATATGAAGAAAAGGGTTTTTATTTATTTTCCAATGGAAGTAATGGGTAAAACTGCCCATTGACCCCTCTTATTTTGCACACGTGATCAGTGAGCCAATTTTAAAAATTAAAATCTAGCAGGGCCAGAATCCTAAAAATGAGATCTTCGAGGTTTTTTTTTTTTTTTTGTTAAAAAGCCCTTCTACTTATATCTATGGGGTAAGGCGTGTATAGGGTGCTCAACTTTACACTATACAAGTACCACGCACTTTTTTATTTTGGGTTTGGGTGCTATAATTATTATGATAGCTTGAAAATCCATATTCAATCTTAATTAAATTTAAAATTTTAAAAACTTTGATGATTGAACAAATGTATAAACATTTTAAAATCTCAAAAATAAAGCGTTCATATAACTTGTTGCAAGATACCCTATTTTTAGAACTAGAAATTATGTTTGTTTTTTTTTTTTCTTAAGATAGAGATCATCAATTTGAAAAGTATTTCAATTTTGTAGCACTCTTTTCTATTGGATTTTGACATACACGTTACTCTATATTATAGGTTGCAACCTTAAATAGACTTTTTTCATATCTATATTTATGAGTAATGATCTTATGAGACCCTCCCACATCTATATATGTAGGACCCCAAATAATCACCATTAAATTTGGTACGGATCTCTAAAAAAGTTATTAGATGGGTGTGAGACTTGACTTTTCTAGAGATCTGTACCAAA